AAATAACTTTTAAATTAAAAAATATCTATTTTTATAAGAACGTCATTTTCTAGATAAAAAATTAGAAATGAAATTTGAGTAATTTTTAATTAAAAAAATCTACAAAGTAAAATTTTAAAAAATTTATAATTTTTTCAAGGGCTTTCTGGTTTTGTTTTTGTTTATTTTATCTTAATTTTTTTGTAACTGATTGAATTTTTGGCAGGACGACGTTTGGGATTTGAACCCCGCACATAGACTGGAACCGAACACAACAGAAACAGCCAAACAGGGGATTAATCGGAGCTCTGGATTCTGACAGATTTTTAACAGCCGTTGTTTCTGAATTCTGACAATTTTTTTTTTCCCTTTTTCTTTTCTAGATAATTTCAACGACTGAATTACCCTGTTAAATTGGATCAATCTCAGAATTGATCTGAAACTGACTGAATAGTCAAAACATTCCAGGTGAAGGGATTTGGGATTTCCTTCCATGTAAATCACTGAAATTTCCTTAATTTACGCCTTTATTATGTCAGCTTAGTATTCTCTGATATGACATTCATACAATTTAAGGTAAGTCAATGTTGTATTATCTCTTAAGAGTTGAAACTTCGTCATTATTTTTATTTATGTTAAAAAAATAAAAAATAGTAATTATATTATTTAATTTATAATATCACGTAATATTATAAGTTTATATATATAATATTATAAATAAATTTTTAAATAAAAATAATTAATTATATACTTTTTTTTTGTATAAAATTATATATTATATTATACACTTATAATACTATATACTCTGAAGTTATATATAGTATTTTTGAAGAGTAAAAACTTAGTCATTACTTGTGTGTGCCAATCTGTTATAAACAAAGAAAAAAATTGTTCAGATGTACCAAAATCATTAAAAAAATAAATAATGTCCTAAAACGTGCATTAAGAAGAAAGGAAAGTGATTTTCCAATTTGTTTGGTTAGAAGATGGGGAAAGACGAAAGAACTTTATTATAGCCTTTAACGTTGGCATTGATTAGGGTGATGTGTTGTAGAATTGAATCATTTTTGTAGACACGTAAAGAGACTTTGATGAGGAAGAAATTGATTTTCTTAGATACAACAATTAAGGAGTTGATTTTTTTTGCAGATTTTTTTGTTTTACTTTGAATTTTCAGAAAATAAACACGCAAAGTTGTTCACTTTCAGTTCTGAATGCATGTCATTCATTCCCTGCCTCTGAATTTCTCCATGTTTTTTTGTTCATAGTCAAGTCTCCAACTAGATGGTGACTAGAATTTTATGCATTGAGTTTTGGTTTTTATTTCAATTTCCAGAAAAATCTTCTTCCTTTGACTATGCTAATTGGAGAAGATAAAAATAACCCAGAAGATCCCCCTCCCCTCCCCCCCAAAAAAAAGGGGATAAAATTAACTCAAACTGATATTTACTCGTGTTTTAGCTTGTCTGGAGTCTGGACTGAAGGACTCTTTCTCTCAATTCTTGCCAAATTGTAGAATATTTGGGGCTGAGTAACTAATTAAATGTAGTAATTAGTGAAAATTACAATGACTTGGCAAAGATTGGTCAATGATCAGCAGAATCAGCACTCTGTTTTTTTTTTTTTTTTTTTAGCAGAATCAGCACTCTGTTTTTTTTTTTTTCAATATATGGATTCAGGCACCTTGTAAAACGTTCACATTTTGTAACGTTTGTGATTAGTTTAGATATATCTTATAAAGTTAATTGCTTTTCTTCAATATTGCATCTGGGTCCTCATCCGATCCAGATTTTCTTTTTCTTTTACCATTAAGAAAGGCCATTAAAACATATCACATGGGTAGCAAAATAAAAAATAAAAAGAAAGAAAATCACATGGACACTTTTTTTTTTTTTTTTTTGGAGGAACACAATTTTTGAAATTGGATAAACAATAACAGAAAATAAAGTTAATTGAGTTAACTTAAAATTTTTAAATATGAATTAGGAAAAATATCTACAGGTTGAATTTGAAATAGAAAAAAGGTTAAGAAAAGTGGACTGCAAAACATAAGCAAAAGAAAAAAAAATAAAATTCAAATGTTTGTTTGAGTCCTTAAAAAATGATGGACCTCACTTACTCAAAGACCCCTCCTTTCAGTCTCTTTTAACTAACTTGAGGTCTACTCTTTGTGAAATTCCTTGTAAAATACTCTGTTTCCCTTCTCCCAATCAAAATCTAACTCAAAAAAGGGTCACTTCTTCATTCATCCTTTATTAACTAACTTCGGTTACACTCTTTGGATTACATCCTTCTAAAAGACTTCACCTCTTTCCCACAGAAAAAAAAAAAAATGGTGCAAACCCATTTTATATTTTTATTGTTTGTGTACTGGCAGGTTAGGCTCCATTGCATCCACAAAATGGAGTTGCTTCCATAATGAAAATAATGGGAAAACCATGGGCAACAGGAAGTTTTTTTTTTTTAATGGTTAAATGTCAATTTTAATCCTTAAACTTTGTATTTTGAATATTTTTTTTCCATAAA